GCCATTAGTATAGGGAAATGAATGAGAGGAGATAAAGACTCTCCTTAAGTAGTGGTTGGTGAGGAAATAGTATTCAATTTAAAGAATCTTTATATGAATGCCACTTTTCAGGGTTACATAAATTGTATGAAAGCAGGTATGACTATATCTGAGAAGTTACCAAACAGGTACATATGATAGTCATGGATCTAAAAAAAAAATTTAAACTCATGATCTGGCATTTTTAATTATCATTAGGTAAAAGGACTACTTTCATTTTAATAGATCACAAAAATCAACATGACACATTAAAAATACTTAAGCATTAAATTTCACTAAGATGAATATTATTTACTTTATATCTGTAACATAACAGAAGAAAAAACAATTCTAAATGACAAACCTTTGCTAAGTAGCCCCCCACTCTGCTTTCTGAAGACATGATATTTTGAGTAGAAAATGCTGAATTTCCTCTTGGAATACGACTTCTCCTGAGGAACATATGGGTATTAACATTCCCAAGATGTGGTGGCTCCAGAACTGGACTGTTGATTAAACAGAACTGTTGATTAAAATTTTATTCTTTTTCCTTTTATTCAGGAGTCAGACACTCACCTCAGCTAGTCTCTCATTAGATTACTCCTGTGAACATTTTAAAGCACTTAAATGGTTACCATTTTTCTTAAATGGTTAATGTGTTTTATTAATGCTATCATAATTGTGACTTTTCCCTGAGTAGTTTCTTAACTCTGAAAAAAATTAAAGCATGTAGGTATTAAAGGGTTTTTTTTTTTGATTTCCTTCCATTATGGTCTTTTCCCAATAAATGGTATAAAGAAATTGATTGAAGAAAAAGGTTTTCAGACTGTCCAGGGGAAATTAAACAAAATAAAACAAACCACAAAAGATACTTGTAAATCTGGAATTCCTTACTAATCTGAACTTTAAGGGAGCCATTGAAAGTACTTCCATTCTATAAATTTATATTGGAAATTAATAGAGTTGTTTTAAGGGTATCAAATCTGAGTGATTATCCCAGGCAGTGCTTTTGCAGTCCTTCCTTCAGGACCCACGTAGCAGCCAAATGACTAAGGGATGTAGTCTCTGGAGGAAAAGGAGGTGACTCAATTGAAGCTCAAAAAAAAGTCCTGAGGCTCTCAACTGTATAGCCAGCCCATAATACCTACCCACCATTGTCATCCTTGTCATATATAGCAAGATTGCCCCACTCATTTTTCTTTAAGAGATAGTATCTTTTGGCTATCTAAGACTCCAATCTAAACCCTTCTGTAATATTTCCTTTCTTTCTTTTCCCCTCCAATAGCTCCCTCAATGAGCTTTCACCTGTATATAAAACTGAAGGGCTGGGACAGCAGCAAATTGAGGGGCATACTTCATCTTGCTATGTAGTCAATAGGATGGCCCCGAGTCCTTCAGTCCTACAATGTGTTATATATTGCTACGATCCTGTTATACATTTTCAGAAACACTTAAAACATTTTGGTACTGTCATTTGGTGAAATGAGAATAATGTTAGTTTAATTTTCAAAATATTTAACTTCATCCCAAAAGGGCTAATCTGTAGCAGATAGTAAAAAGAAATAATGTGACATAGAAATAAGATACACTTAAATAATTTTCATAGGATCATAGATTGAGGACTGAAAGGGATCTCAGAAGTCGCCTAATGAAACACTCTGATTTTAAAGATGAGGAAACTGAGGCCCTGGGAGGTTAAGTGACTTGCTCAAGGTCATACAGTAGTGAGCATCAGAGGCAAGATTTGAAGCCAGGTCATCTGCCTTTACAGCCAGAGTACCATCTTTCCAATGTACCACACTGCAGTCTTTTGTACCTAGTTAACATTTTAAAAATTATTTGGCTTACCAATATGTATAAAAGTATCATCTCTACAGGTAACCCCCATATCCCAATGAAGTCATAGATCAATCCATTAAAGATTCGTTAAATTCAAAATGGAAATCTTTAAAAGCAATCTGATAAGTTTAAGTACTATTTTCTTAGTGTCCCTGTTTGGGCTTACCTGTTTAATTTGACTGATAATGATTTTTTTATTTTTAATTCTTCAGAATTAAGCTGTCTGTATCTTTCTACCTCTGCTTCAGCAGACTCTTGATGTGACTTTTTCATTTTGGAGAGTTCAGACTCCAGATCTCTAATTCGTTGCTCCATTTGGCTTCTTAGGGAAGCGTTGTTATTTTCTCTTAATTGTTCTAAGTTCTCTTGGGATGCTGCTTGCATCTAAACCAAATGGAAAACAAAGAATGAAGTTAACAAAAAATGGCCCCACTCTATCCTAAAGTTTATAAAATGTTTGTTACCATATTCTGTTACGTTTCATTTTAATTTCAGTCAGCAATTCAGAGTGCAATTCTGAATTTCTAAAAGTAGATTCTAACCTTGAAAGGACTCATTATCAAGGTCAGCTGAATTAAATTTGAACTTAAAAAAAAACTTGTTTCTATTGACTGTTAGTTTACTAGTTCTTACCCAAGAGATAATATTAGGATCATTATAAAAACAATAGGTATAATCCTAAAAAAAAAAATAACTACAGAATCTTCTGAATGTTTTGTTACAATTAAAATATTTGTCAAATTAAAAAAAAAACTCACCCTTCAAAATTTTATAATTATGCCAATTATTTTTAAAAACTCAGTTTATGTGGATAGAGTGCTGGCTCTGGAGTCAGGAGGACCTGAGTTCAAATCATGTTTCAGATACTTAACACTTACTATCTGTGTGACTGTGGGCAAGTCACTTCATTCCAATTGCCTTGCATAAACAAAACAAAACCACCCCCCAAAAAGAAGCACCTTAACTGATAGTATTCATGGTTATTTTCACTTATTATTTCAAAGGCTATTATTCTCTTTATTAAAAAAAAGTGATATTAAGCTTATGGAGACCAATAGAAATAAAGGCAGAGAGAGAAAAATTTTAAAAGTTACTCTGTATTTAGAATAAGGAAAATAATCCTAAACTTTCATTTATGTTGAAATCATTTAAAAGCATTGTGGTGATAATTAAAGTAACCTGTAAAAATAGGTTGACTTCTTTTAGTTTTTCTATAATCTCCTGTCTCACTCGTTCTTCAATCTCACGTTTATATTGTTCTACTTGACTGCGTTCTAGTTTAGCAATTTTCAAATGATGCTTAAGATTAATTATTTCTTCTTCTAATTGTCTTTTGTTCTCTTCCAGCTTGGCACATTTCTTTTGCAAGATTTTCGTAGAAAATAACTCTCCTCGAAATCTCTGATTAATTGATTCCAACAGTTTACATTTTGAAGATTCTGCTTCCAATTGTTGTGTAAGGTCTTCAATCTGCATAAAATATCAGTTTAGCAAATTACACAAATAAAATAAGTTTTTCATCTTAAATACTAATTTAAACCTCTTAAGATTATTTTTAATTCAGATGTAATTAAGTGGATCATTATACTTATAGCTATAAAATATATTTCCTAAAATGATTATTTAAGTAAATTGACAAATCAAAAACAAAATTAAGACTGAAAGGAGAAACCTTGAAATGATATACTAGCTCTTATAGCCTGTATCATCCACATTTAGTACCTGATCGCATACTGTCTTCTGTGTTCTCTAATTTTTTCACCTATCTTTCCTGCCCAGCAATACAGTGAGTAAATATCAATAAACTTCATATTAGATGGATATTAACATATTCTTCTTAAATTATGCTAGGCTTATGGCAACAACAGATCTTAAAGGGAATTTGGAAGAAATGAGATTCCTTTTAATCATCCGAATGAGAACACTGGTTCTATGATGATAGACTTCACTGAGAAAGCAAATTAACTTATGCGAACTTAAATGTCACATGGTGAGATGCTCAGTTTCAGAGCCAGAGAAAATCATGCCTTTCTCATCTACAGAACTCTGGTGATAGTATCCAGGGAATACGCTACGTTTACCAGAGCTTCTATTGTGTAATAACCCTCTTACTGCTCCCCAAGTGCCTCAATAAAACAAATCAACAAGCTTAGCAGGGTTTCTACCTGTTTTCCTTCAGCTCCAGAAGTTAGATGATTGACTGAAATAAGTGATAAGTAAAAAAGTGTGACACCACTGACTTCCAAAGGGCAAAACTCAATAAATGTTAAGAAGTTAATTCTTTTAGATAAATATTGATGAGAAACCAAGATAGAAGACATCAACTAGTAAAATTAATGATAGTAAGATGTTTCTAAGGAGTCACTTGTCACTATAGAAAAAATGGCATTTCTACTAGTTAGCATCATAGCACTTTAAGGTTTGCCATTATCTCACTTGAATACTTATGATGTTTTTTTTTCTTTCTTTTTCCCAAACCTCCTTAGGACTTTCCCCCAACTTGTGTTGGCCTAAGTAGTTAGAGTTGGGGAAATGTCTCAATATTATCAAATATTAGAATCTTTTAAAAAAGTAGTAGCTTCAGATAAATTAGTCAATTTATTATCCTTCCAGAAGGGGGAAAAATCTTTGCTTCCCTAAAACACAAAAGCAATGTATAGGGTATACTGCAATAAAATGGTTTTCACTCAAACCAACTCAAGTCCTTAATTTTTATAACTCTGTGTTGTATTATGCAGTCTATTAATATTAGCAGTGATTACCTTGCAATCAAACTGTTGCTTTATTTGTTCTTTGTCATCTTAAAATCTCTTATTAAAGAACTACTGCTTTTCAAATTGTTTCTGCTTATTAGTCCTCTTTTTTGGGGGAAATTTTTTTCATCTTTAGGATTACAGAAGCAGAGTGTCAGAGAGAACTCTTAAGTTTTAAGAGGCCCTGCAAATACTGACCTAAAAAGGCTTTCCAGCATTTTGTTTCTTCAAACAGCCCACTTTCCCTTTGGGAGCACTCTAATTGTTAGAAAGTTTTTCTTTACATCAAACCTAAATTTGTGTCTAAATCAATTTGTAAAACAATTCTTTCTCCCATCTGACAATGCATTTAAATATTTGAGAAGTTCTTTTAACACAATAGATTTAGGTATTTGATATCCATTTTAGATGAATTCTATAATATGAGTAAAGGAAATTTTTCTAATACATAAATCTATATAGAGAGTCACTGGAGCCCAGAATTTTAAGGGAGATGTAAAGTCCCCAAGCTTGTCTACTGAGTCCCTGAGAACAGCAAGAACTGTGTGACTAGGTCTTAGATAGAAAGTGTTGCCTTCCAAGCATGGGGAAGATGTAAATCTTCTCATGGGTACTGGTGTCCCAATGATCTGCTACATATATAACCATTTGAAAAGGAATACAATGATAAAACATTTTACATTTTCCAATATTAAGGATTACCTTATTTTTTAACCTATTAATTTGTCTATCCATTTCAGAATGTGTTTGCTTATGTTCCCCCTTGTGAACAACATCTTCTTCATATTCTCTTAATTTTTTTGTTGTTTTCAATGGTTTTTTAAATCTGTTAGAATGAACAGAATAATTAAGTCAAACTCTTTATAACTTAAGTACTATACATTTAATATTATTTTTGACACATTTACTTAAATTCTTTGAAAGCACAGAGAAGAAAATAAATCTAAAAAGAGTTCCTGAGGTCACCCAACTCGGATCCAATAATATTTTGTTAAAATAAAACCAAAAGAAGAGTAGCCTCACTAATCATTTCATCTCAATATCAAATGATATATATTCAACTTCAGCTCTCTGTTAATATCACATTATTGTAGAATATTCCCCAAATGGTTTCTGGTTATGCTGTAATATTTGTAGAAAGGGGGATACCTTATATATATATATATATATATTATTATATTATATATTATTATTATATATATATATATAACCTAAAATTCAAATGATGAGTAAATTTATTTTGAAAAAAAGTTTTGGTGATGTTTTGTGCTCTTGTTATTTTAATTGTAGATCTGTGTAAATTAGCTGGTCAAGTATTTAAATGCCATAGCCCACAAAACACAAATGACATCATTTAATGTTATTAGAACACAAAGTTGTATTTAAAATGTTTGTTTAATGGATGTAAATATAGGCAGTCCCTAACTTGAAAAGTCAATTGAATCTCACAAGTTATTTTGTAAATTGACAGGTTTGTAAATTTTCTGGGGAAAGGGAATGCATTTTCCCCCATAGAGCTAGTGCTCTAAAAAGCAGTTGAATAGAAGCCCACAAAAACCTAATTAAACCATAACACAGCAAAATGCATGATGATTTGGACACTCTCCTCTGCCACTGGAATGCAGCCTCTAGCCTGTGGTCAGAAGATCTGATACCTCAACAGTGGTGGCTTCTTGGCATATTCAATTAAAATTCATCAATTGAACAAAAAAATATTTAAATGAATTAAAAAAAAAACCCCAAAAAAATTCATCAGTTGGAATTTAATTAAAATTTAATTAGAAAGCATTAAGTGCTTACCCCTAAAGGTTGTGATACAATACTAAATTTAGAGAAACCATGATCCAGGCTGTCATTCAATTGAAATATAAGATATACATGTAGATAGTTACAATACAAAACAAACTGTAAGAGCTTTAGGGGAGTGTAGCAGAAATTGTGAGGTGAAGTCTGATGGTTAAGGTCATTCATTATCAAGAACAGAGATCAGAGTAGGCCCCATAGAGGAGCTGCATTTGGGTGAGGATGAGTGCAGAGGCCATGGGTGAACATTACAGGCACAGGGCAGAGGTAGGAAAGGACAAGGCATGTGTTGAAGGACAGAGAATAGTCCAGTTTAACAGGAGCTTAAGTTGTAGAAGAGGAAATAATATAATTTAAATGTGCAAAGGCAGTGTAAGGGCCTTAAATTCCAGGACAAGGCATTTTGTAGAGGCTAGATCAAAAGTCATATCCTTAATGGAATCTTCCTGATCCCACAAAGTCAAAAGAGATCTTTACTTCCTTCAGTCTCTGATTGTGTTTTCTTTGGACTATTATTAATCACTTACCACATTCTTATTCGCAAAATTATTTGAGTGTCTGCATTACCTCTTTTTATTAGATTGTTATCACCTTCAAAGCAGGGACTATACACTAATCATCTCTGTAGCTAGAGGAATAGTACAGTATTTTATACACAACAGAGGTTCAATAGTATTTTTTGAATTAGTGATAAAGAAACAAATAAGTGAATAAGGAAAGGAATAAATTAGGATGGAGAACATAGAGACCAACCTTATAGAAACAACTTATGTGCAGAAATAGTATACTTAACAAGAGTCTGGAAAACATACGTTAAGGTGCAGGTGCTACACAGCATTTGACTATAATTTCAAAGATGCAGGTCAGAAGGTTTGATTTTCAGTAATCATTTAGTGAATAAAGTGAAATGAAAAAGAAAACTTCTTTGTTCACTTAGACTGATACATGCTGTAATTATCAAAGTGTTAATGTATAAAACAAATTTGTACTTAGGATTTAACAAACTAGTTAAGTCTTTGCTTACTTAATGTATGGTTGAAACAGCCTGCAACAAAAATGAGTCTTACCCACTGAGTTCCTGTAATTCATCATTTCTCTTCATTTCTTGTTGTAGACGATTTTCCAGAGATTGCTTTACCTCAATGAGTTTCTTTATTGTTTCCCTTTCAGTATTAGGCTTTGAAAACATTTTTACAAAGAAAAATATTACAAGAACTGAACTGGCATTTTAAAAAAGGATATTTTTCATTAACTCCAGATCCAACTCTAAATATCAGTTTAAGCATAGTTTATAAAATCAAAACAAATACAGAGAGATTTGAAAATGATTGATTTTACTTCAAACGATAAAGCTTTCCTCTGATTACACTGCAACCTATTTTTTTTTTGAAATTTAGATCAATGAATGTTTTCAACTGGTTTTAATATAGGTATTTATTTTACTAATAATGTCAATAAATTTAAAAATAGTTGAAATGAGTAAGAATGAATAGAACGTGGGTCAAGTTTGCCAACACACTTTGGAGGAGCACTGGCCTTCTCCCTTTCTCTGCAGCCAATGGAAACGGTCCCCTCGTCGCCCTTGTGTTCGCATGGCCCATGGTCTAAGCATTCCTATGTTAAAATATCTATATATGTATTCTTAGGTAAGGCTATAAAACTCTTCAACAAATCTCTTTGTATTTGGCTAAGTGAGATGGAACCTGTGTAAATTCATGTTTTGGTTTTGTTTTTTAAATTCTCTTACAATGGTTATCTGTTGCTCTGGATTATGAGCCAGGTAAATCACCTGTCCTCTTCTCAACTTCCTTTCAAGGTTTTCAAGTTCTTCCTCGTCCAGTGGTCTTCTCTGTCTTACAAAGGAAAAAAGAACCCTCCTCATTCTGCTGAATTCTGCTGCCCCTTCCAGATTCACTCCTTTTTCTCCCCTTTGCTTCCAAACTTCTTCAATGAATGACTATCTCACTGCCATGCCAGCTGCCATTTGTTCATCTCTCGTTCCCATTTCATTCATCTATTTATGATTGTTTACTTATTTATTTGTTCTATATCTGTGATTTAATTGGTATAGGGAATTCTGGGTGAAAAAATTCCATCTATCAATGTAAATAGGCCCTGTGCTCAGCCTGCAGTTTAGAATCTGCAACTCTTAGAGACTTAGGGAATCAAGAGGTTACAAGCTTTGCTCAGGATCACAAAGCCATCTATGTCAGAGTAGGGATTTGAACCCATGTTTTCCTGACTCTGAGGCTAGCTCTCTATGCATATGACAATGGTGCTTTGCTTTATTTCCATGAAATCTGGATTACCTCCCTACTGGTCTACTGAAACTGCATTCTCAAAAAGCAGAAGTTCTAAACATACCCAAAAACATTTCTTCTTAGTCTCTGACTTCACTGCAACATAGTATCCTGTTTCTATTACTTGATTTGTCATGTATTATCCCTGCAAATTATCATTTCTCAGTGTTTCTCTTCCTCTTATATCTCATGGCTACCACCTTAGTTCAGACCCATTACCTCAAGCAAAGGATCATAAATGTAGAGGTGAACACTTTATTCCAATCTTCTCATTTTACAGATTAGGATATTAAGTCACTTGCCTATGGATTAAAGACAAGGTGCTACAGGGTCTTTGTGTTCCAGTTTTAGCCCATACCAATCAGATACAAAGTGCTAAGTTAAATCTTCATAAAACACTGTTTAGACCATATTAATGCCTTACTCAAAAACCTAGAATGGGACTGTTTTTGTCTTCCAGTTTGAGGCTAAACTTCACTGCCTTTCTTACTCTAAAATATAACCACATCCTGATTTTTTCCTACTTTTACTTGGAGTTTCTTTACAGCAACCCTCTTCACACTCCAGTGCTTTTGCTTTTGTCCCGGACTGTATTGTTCTCCTATCCTATTGATCCCAGTCCTCAAAGGCAACTCAAAGATCTATCTTTTCTCTAAAGCTTTTCTTGCTGTCTTACAACAATAATCCCTTTCTTCACTATGTTCTTTGATATTTTTGTCTGTGGCATGCAGTAAGTATACCGTTCTAGTCAGTTTCTAATTTTTGTGAAACCATTCACTTCAGTTCTTATTTCAGTATGTAATGCTGAGATATTTTATAGAGACATGGCAGGAACTCATTAAATATTTTTTAACGCAATTAGGGTTAAATGACTTGCCCAGGGTCACACAGCTAGTGTCAAGTGTTTGGTCTGAGGCCGGATTTGAATTCAGGTCCTCTTGACTTCAGGGCTGGTCCTGTATCCACTGAACCACCTGGCTGCCCCACATTAAATATTTTGAATGGTAGATTTGGGAAAGCTGAGTAGATTAGAGAATAAGAATAAGCAAGTGGGGTTCACTCAGAATTGTAGACTGTTAGTGCAAAAAAGGACCCCAGTGATGAGTTAGTACCTCATTTTATATATGAGGAAACCCAGGCTTGAAGACAGAAAATCAATTGTCTAAAGTCATATGGACAGCCAGGGGCTGAGCCAGGACTCAAAATCTTGGAAAAGTCATCTTCAGATGTAGGTTTTTAATAATTTATACTTATACAATTATCCAAAATACATATTATTAAATTTAGCTATTTGGCAATTGTTCTTCCAAAAGAGGTAGTAACTCAGGAAATATGCACTGAGTATTTTTTTCATGTGGAAAGAAGATTGGATTAAGTACTATCTGCTCTATTCTAAAACCTTTTATAAATGCTTATGTTATTTACTTATATACCACTCACTTGTTACTTGTTTATATGCTACCTCCTATTATAAATTAACTTTCTCTATTTTACGTGGTGTCTGAGGCCATATTTGATGTCAGGTTTTTCTAATTCCAGGCCCAATGTTGTATCCATATTTCTACCAAGCAGCCTCTCAGTAGAGAAAATCTCATCATCAAAAACTCTATGTTTGACTGCTCTGGCACAGAATTCCATTACTTTACTCCTGATGATGGACACTAGGTTGAAAATATGTTTGAAAGATATCAGAAATATCCATTTCTACACCATTTGGCTGGTATAATGATGAATACCATACCATCAACTACATATGAATGTGGGAAAGCAACCTAGAATACATAAATGAATTTTATAGTATTTAAGTAAATACTTTAGGAGCATTTGACTATGAAACTGTATTCTATACTTAACTTCTTCATTATAATAGTTTTTAATAATAATAAAAAATAAAATTTTATACTAAATTTCTATTTTGCTATTAAGGGATGCTGGGAAATTGAAAATTTATACAAAATCAGACTAGAAAGAAACTCAAAATTGCATAGTCCAAATATTACCTTGGAGCTAATTTACTTTTAACTAACCTTTAAACTCATGGCAAAGTAAAAAATAAACATTTACTTAGCATCACCTTCTTCTTTTACTACTACTACTGCTGCTACTGCTGCTGCTGCTGCTATCACTACTACTACTACTACTACTACTACTACTACTACAATAATAATAATAACTAGTACTTCTACTACGAACATGTTGTGAAAAGGAAGTTCTATATAAGATAAAGAAGTATAAATAATCCCTGTCCTCAATGAATTGAAATCTAGTTGGGGAAATCTAGACACAGAAAATGGTAGTTTGGAAAGATGTGAACACTGTAAGGCAATCAATTACTAAACTGATTAAATTTAAATGAAATAATAAATTTTATGGCATTAAATACTAAATTATATGTTATCAGATGAAAAGTGGAATTCATAAGATTGTGAAGTCAATAGGGCTGAAAAGTAAAAACAAAAAAGGCTTATCACACTTTTGGAATTCAAAAGGATCTTAAAGATGAAGGTGGCATTTGAGAAGCAGGGTGCTGAAGAATGGATAGGTTTTGGATAGGTAGCACAGATGCAGAAGTATAACTAAGCAAGAAGAAGAGCATGACTAAGGGTATGGAGATGGAAATCAACATGTGATTGGATCAGTACATCAGTTTGAACAAATTAGAAGATGATGAGATTATCCATCTAATTACTTCAAATCTCAATTTTGTTTTGCACGAACAATTTATATACTTTCAAATTGTGGAAGTAATAGCGTTTTCCTTTCATTGAAGGAGTTTGAATAGAAACAAATACATAATTTCTACTTCACAGTGCTGTTTTGGGGATTAAATGAGATAATGTATGTAAAGGGTTTTCTAGTCTTAGAAAAATACCTCATTCCTTATGGGAGGATAGATAAAAAAAATTGTCAACCACCAAAAGAGTGAATATAATTATCTCAATTTAAAAGTAGAAATGGTGGAGGTAATAGGTCTTGTTCTAAGTCACTTTAAATGACAGGCACAGTGTTCAGAAAATATAAAACACTGGTAAAAAATAAATGTTACACTGAAAACACTTTCCATTAAACAGTGACAAGTTACTGATTTTTTGCACACATATTTTACTTCTGGTCTGATCTCTTTCATTTGGTAGTTTTTTCATAACGTCTAAATCATTTTGAAAATATGATGTAAACTCTAGTGAAACTTCTGTCATGGATTGGTATTTTTTGGAACCAGCAAATTCTTGTTGAAGCTTTCTTGCTGTACCCTGATAGAAATATATCCAAATTATTTCTATTACTGATTTCATAAATCAATATTAGGTCATATAAAGTAAATATACCTTCATCACATGCAACTTAATTTAATGAACGTATTCATAGTTATCATAAATTTAGAACTAGAAAAAGTCTTAGGCACTATTTAATCCAACCACTGCATTTTGCAGATGAGGAAACTAAGCCCCAAACAGGTCAAATGAGTTACTCAAGGCCATAAAGGTAGTAATTAATAGAGAAAAGGATTGGAATTTAGCTCCTGAGACTACAGTGCTCTTTTGAATATACCACTCACCCAACATTCAGCATGGAGCAAATGCTATCTTCCTACTTGCTCAGTATTCTCCTCATAAAGCAATGCATTCAGCCTAATTTCCCCATTCTATCTTTTTGAGAATTATAACACCTCCTAAACCACATAGGGATAAAATGTTTTATGTGCAATTTACACGGAAGGTAGGGACATGGGGGAGTGAAGATTATGTAGCTTCCTATACTTGATAGAAACATTAGGGATTTTTCCCTTCCATTTTTCAGAAAAGTTAACTACCTTATTTCTTTTCACTGGCCCTTACAAGAATGAAGACATCTATAAGAACAAGTTGCATTTTTCTTCCTCTCATATGAGAAGAATGAACATATGCAGTGATATGCTTGTCAGGCCTGGCAGAAGCACTTGAAGTGATTGATTTGTTTTGCTGAAAGCAAAAAAAAAAAAAAGGTGCAGGCAAGGAGTTGCTAGCTACTATTCACATCTTCAACTGTCCTTGCCAAGCCTTCAAAGCAGTTCCTTTTTCTGTTGGGAGAGGATTTACACTTCTCATTCCAGTCAAAGCACAGAAAAGGGGGAAACTATAGAAAATATAGTAGTACTATGACTTATGTATACACAGTATGTGCAAGGTCACAGCTAAAGGGAAGTCATTTCATTTTGTTTCATTTCATTTCATTCTCTATCCTAGTAGGAATACTTATGTACATATATAATGTACATATATTTATGTATATATACACAAATACATACTTGTATATGTATATACAGATATGCTAGGAAAATCCTGTTCATTTTCACTAAAGAGCAAAGTAAATTATTGTACATATTACTAATGGCAAATGAAGATAAAAAGAGAAAGAAATTAAACTTTTTTCCATCTCATTAGATAAGATTAAGTATCTTGTAAAAATAAATATAACTAAAGTCAAATAAACTTTTTAAAGGAAACATAAGCTAAAAGAAGCCCATGTAAAGTAGTGAAAGGGAAAATTGGCATAAATAATTAAATTCCTACAAATAAACTAAATTTTAGTATGAAATGATTCAATGATTCAAGTGCATGATCATATATACTATAAATTAAATCTAAAAAAAAATTTATATGAAATTGTTACCCAGTACAATGTTGGTAGTCCTGCCACCTGTTGCACATGTGAAACAATCACAGATAATGAGAACTACTATTAGCCTGTAAAAAGCTATCTATGTTCAACAAATGAAAGGCAGTGATCCTAAAAATTGCAATTTTGGACATTAAGAAGTGTTAGTAAAACAGTGGAAAAATACTGAGATAAAAATATGTAGTGGGGAAGAAAAAACATGTTATTTTTTAAATGGCACAATTACTACACAACAAAATAATGATCAATGCAAAATCATAATCAATTTTAACAGAATTATTGTTCTAAATTTTAAAGAAAACTTGTTGCTATTCTTTGGAATTTCATTAAAAATATGATCCAGTGTTTAATATTTTTTTAATTTTTTTTTTTTGGCTAGGCAATGGGGTTAAATGACTTGCCCAGGGTCACAAAACTAGTAAGAGTCAAGTGTCCTAAGCTGGATTTCAACAAAGGTCCTCCTGACTGCAGGACTGGTGCACTATCTACTCTGCCACCTAGCTGGCCCCCAGTGTTTAATATTTCTAAAATTAGTGATTGATTTTTAGTTCTAAGTAGTTTGAATTAAATTAGCTCCAAGTGGTTTGAATTAAAAACTAGATTGATTGATAAACATGTTAAAATGGTTATGAAAAGGGTAACTATAATATCCCACAGTGTCTCAATTCAGATGTCTGATTTGAATTGTTACATTATTCTTAGCATGATTTTGCAGGATTTATCTTAAGTTTTACCATTTCAAATAATTTATTACACTGAAGAATTAAAATTTAATATTATGCATATTATTAGAATTATATATTTATCAGTATTTATTTACAAGAGATTTAATCTATCTACATTTACTAAGCCAAAATTTAATGGGCTACATAATGTTATTATATACTCAGCAAAGTGAGTCATTTTATCTAAAAGATGGATATCAAGTTGATTTTTATCAGGTTATTGCTTCTTCATTCTCCTTTCTTACATGTCAGAATTTTTACAATTAAAGTTCACATCATCTGCCTGCTGAACATTCAAAACCCTAATTTACTTTGTTCAAAATTATTTTCAGTTTCATTTCAACAAGTTAAATGCTTATTCAATGATATTATTTAAAGACCTACCTCTCTTTCTGCTTTCTCATTTTCATATTTACACATTTGCTCTCTTAAGTGGTGACATTCATTGATCAACTCTTTATTTCTGCCTTGTACCATATGAACTTGTTTTTCTGTATCAGCACGAAGTTTATTGAAAAGATCAATAAACTGTACCTGAGCACCACTCAATACCTTTTCTTTAAGGATGCCTTTGTTTTGAGCATCTTCAAGCTGCTGTCGAAGCAACATATTTTCACTCTGGATTTGGGCTAATCTTTCTTGGATAGATTCTTGTTTGATGACATATTTGTTCAGTTTTTCCTTTTCCATTTGATTTGTGTGTTCTAGTTCCTTTGCTTTATATTGGGCTTGGTTTAATTCTCTCTGTGTGCTTTCTAAAATTAGTGTCTTTTCTCTGAGGGAATCACGTACATGGTGTAGCTCATTTTCTAAACTATTGGCTTTACTTTCAGCTTTAGAGAGCTCTTGAGAAAGGACACCATTGTTCTCTCTTAGACTAGACAAGTCATAATTTAGTTTGTCTTGTAAACGAAGCCACTCATCTCGTTCTCGCTGAAAGCTATGCTCAAGGTCTAGTTTTGATGTCTGACTTTGTTTATTATCATGAATAGAAGAAGTTAGACAGGAACGGTATAATTCAATTTCTGTCTCTAGTCTGTCTCTGTTTTGTTTTTCATTTTCCAATTTAAACTTCAGGATTGCATTCTCAGTTGTCAGAACATTTACTTGTCCACTGTACTGGGATATTCTTTTTGTTAATGTTTTTTCATTCAGTTGTAATTCCTTTTCAAGCTCCTCATTCTTTTCTTTTAAAACTTCATTTTCTTCTGTATATTGATTTTCTTTCTCCTGATCTTTAATTTTTACTGTGTCTAGTTCCAGTTTAAGCATGGCAACTTCATCCTGTAGGTTTTGATTCTTATGCAGGAGATATTTTTCTTTTTCATTGCTATCAGGAACCTAAACACAATTAGCAGAAAAAAATTGTTACTCAAAATAAAATTATGCATTCTGATTTTCCTTAGTAATTAAAAATAGACCTGAAAATGCCAAGAAGCATAGTATATTCTAAGAAAACATAAATTGAGTGGGTTTCACCTATTTCCCATCTCTATCAGACTCAATTTTCCTGAAGAATAGATCTTAAAAGTGCTACATCAATCAGAAGGCATGCACTGTATTTCTAGGCCTCAGAATTTGTCAGTCTTTCAGCATATTCTATTTCCTTTGCTGTATCCATTTGATCCCACACCGGCTATTCGTAGGGTTATGATAAAAAATAACAATATCTAACATTTATAGAGGCCTTTTAAGGTACCTTGCAAAGTACTTTCGAGACATTATTTCACATAAGCCTTGCAACACACCTATGAGGGAAATTCTCATATCATTCTCCCCATTTTAAAGATTAGGACTTAGGTTAGGAGAAGTTATTAAATTATCTGCTCATTGTCACACCTAGTAAGTGTTAGAAGCAGTATCTGAATCCAGGTCTCTTCAGACTCCAAATCTGGCACTCTTTTCCAATAGCTAATTTCCTCTTAGGCTGAACATAAGCCATTGTCCTACAGTTAGAGTCATTGTCCTGGTACAGCTATCTGAGCTATGGACCAATGAAGTGATAACAGTCTTAGAATTTCTTAGTACATATCTTGAGAACAATCCGTTCTCGGATAGATCTGTAGCATTTTCAGAGCATCAATTTAGAGTTTTTAGAGGTTATCTAGTCCCAACCTCTCATTTTAGGGACAGGAAAAGTGAGTCCCAGAATGTGGTCTATGTATGGCAACCTAACCTTAACCATCAAATTTTAAAGGAATAATGAAAGCATTATCGATGCCAAAGCATAAAAAGTTGATTTTTGCACTCCCATCATAGTAAAACTGGTCCAGGAGCATTGGGCCACATTCAGGACTGGTGGAAACAGCTATATCAAAAAGCTCAGGAGCCCCTTTCTATGAGATCCCTTCTATAAAGCCAGGAGAAAGGTATGAATAGGCAACAGCTGAGTTAAATGAAGCACTCCAGTGCCCAGGCACCAAAGAATTACTAAGGGCCAACAACCCGAATGATTCACTTCAAACCATTGTTGAAAAAAGAAGAAAATGAAAAATCTTAACTTTGGCATTTGATGAACTTTTGTTTCTATCAAGCTGAGCAATGATCAATGTGAATGAATGAAACCTTGTAAAGTATAGACCCTTATTTTAGAAATCTACGTGCAATTTATTCTTGTTGCAATACTTTTTACCTTCCCTTTCATGAAACATGAGTGAGACAACAATCTGAAATAAACCAAACTATTTTCATATGTTTTGTAACCCTTGGTCTCTGCCCTGGAAAGGGTCAATAGATAAAATCTCTTCATTAAGGAAGAAAAGTGGTTTGTGTTTGAGGTGCCACTTTCTACCTGGTGCATTCCTTTCTCCCCTTAGGGGTTAGTGAACCTGATGAGCTGTGCCCTCTCCCTATGTCCAGAAAGGGCAGAGGTTCTACTGAGAGGCAGGGATTTGTTCCAGTAGAAGTACACTTGTGTCTCTGGAGGGATCATTCGATTCAAAGAAAAGAAGCAACAAAGTAAAACAAACAACCTCTGCTGATTTTGGTCACTATGTGTGTCACTGCTTGTCTGCTGCAGACAGATGGACATGATTGCAGATGACAAATATGTCTAAAAATGAAGAACAAAAATCCTGACTTTTTAAATATGCAATTAGATTTGAAAATGACCAAAGTGAATACCTCAGAACTCTGAATGCTTTTGGAACCAGCTGCTTCTATTTGCTTTTGCTTCCAAAGAGGATCATTCAGAATGCTGTCTTGCAAAGCTCTGGCACTCTGCTCCTGAGAAAGCTGTCTTTGAGTGTCATTTTGCTCTTCTTCAACCTGGAGACAACAATTTCATTAAAGCTTTAATCATATTTTTCCTTCAAAAGTCAGCAAAAACATTTCATCTTTAACTGGAATATAGAATCTGAAAAAGAATGGAAAATAGCTGAAAAAATTCTAAGAAAAGTAGACTACTGAAAATGAAAAACAATAAGGCTAGCATTTCAGAGTTGTAAAGGAACCTCAGCAACTATTCAGTCCAAACCATTATTAAGTACCTGACTCTTACTAGACTTTACTTAGCCTTGGCTTGAAGTCTTCATAGACGGGATTGGGGGAAGCCACCATCTATCCAGGCAACTCATTCTATTTCTACCTATGGATGGTTCTATTTGGTAGCAATTTTTTCCTAACATTAACCCTAAAAATGTATGTTTTTGCAACTTCTATCCACTGCTTTTAGTTCTGTCTCTTAGGGTGAAGCAGAGCAAGTTAATCCTTCCACATGACTGTCCTTCCATGAAGACAGTTATCATGGCCTTTGTGTTTTCTTTTCTCAAGGAACATCTTCAGTTCTTTTAACTGATCCTCACATGTCATGGGCTCAAGGCCCTTCCTCATCCTGTTTGCTGTTCTGCTTACTAGCTACCAGAATTCCGTGGTAGCCACAAATGAACAAAACAGTACTGGTGAGGTCTGATAAGGTCAGAGTACAGATGTATTATTACCTCCTCAGTTTTAGAAGCTATGCTTCTTTTAATGGGTTCCAAAATTACATTAGCGCTTTGGTTGCCAAATAACAGCACTGACTCAAATTAAACTTAGAGTTCACTAAGACTCCTACATGTTTTCCAACAAAATGCTGCTATCTAATCATATTTCCCCCAACATATAATTGTGAAACTAATTTTTTGTACCTATTATAAAACTTTACATTCATTCCTACAGAATTTCATCTTATTAGTGGGCTCAGTCCAGTTCTCTGACCTATTAAGACTTTGCCTTTCTTCCATTTAAAAAGACTTGGATAATTTTAGTTGCATAAGTAACAGCTAAGGATGCTAGAGAACAATAAACTTTTCTGAAAGACTGAAGGATGTGTGGTAAAGTGGAATATAAGGAATAGAGAAAGGGACTGAACCTGCAATTTCATTGGCCTAGAGAATTTTCAGGTAAGGAAACTCCCTCTAACAATGTAGAGGAGTTCTAGGGAACTCATAGTTTAGACAGTTATCTAGAGCAGTGGTGTCAAATAGATGCCCCTAGTACTGAGTTTTGTGGGCAGCTTTTGTGGAGTTGGACACCTCTGGCCTTGGGTCAGGTGAAATGACTTGCCTAGCATCACGCAGTCAAGACGTATCAGTGGTAATATTGAAGCCTAATCGATTACTCTTAGATTTGAGGCTGGTTCTATCCACTACACCATACTGATTCTCTACTGTGATACATATTTTAAAATGTTCCATTTTACCTTTTCCATGGCTATTCAGCCTGTAATTTTACATTCAAATGCTTAAACAAGGGAAATTTTTCTTTATTTTTCTTTATATATTTATGAATTGTTGAACCCAACTTACTTCTACTAGACATAAATACTATGGCACTTTTTTACGATTTAAAAATTATTTTAAGCATTCTTTTTAAAGTTGAGTTCCAAATTCTCTCCCTCAGCCATGGAGAAGACAAGCAATACATCATTTATACATGTGAAGCCACACAAAACATATTTCTATATTAGTCATGTTATAAAAAAGCAAGAAAATTAAAAAGTGAAAAGATATGCTTCAATTTACACTAAGTTTGTCAGTTCTCTCTGTGGAGTTGGACAGTACTTTTCATCATGATTCCTCTGGAATTGTCTCCTATCATTTTCTTGATCAAAGTAGCTAAGTCATTCACAGTTGATTGTGTGATCATCATTAAAATATTGCTGGTACAGTATACAAAGACCTCCTCATTCTGCTTGTTTAACTCTGCATCTATTCATATAGGTCTTCCCAAGTTTTACCAAAACTATCTCTTTCATTTGTTAGAGCACAAAAATATTCTATCACAATCATATACAACCAATTCTTTGGCCATTCCACAATTGATGGTCATTCTTTGACACCACAAAAAGACCCACTAGAAATATTTTTGTACATGTAGGTCCTTTTCCTTTTCCTTTGATCTGTTAGTGATACAGACCTAGTAGGGGTATTGCTGTGTCAAAGGGTATGCACAATTTTATAGCCCTTTGTGCATAGTTCCAAATCGTTCTCCAGAATGGTTAAATCAGTTCTGAATTGTGCACTAGTGTCCCTATTTTTCCACCTCCCCTATAGAATTTGCCATTTTCCTTTTCTGTCATGTTGGCCAATCTGAGGTAGTGTGATGTGTTGTTCCAAGTTGCATTTATCTAATCAATAGCGATTTAGCATATTTTTTCATTATTATTGATCAGTTTGATTTTTTCATAGAAAACTCTCTGTTTATATTCCTTAACTATAATGAGAATATTATTCATCTTTTCATGTGTGTCACTAATTAAATGACAAGGCATTTGGCTAACATAAGAAGGTCATAATCAATCCCACTATTTACCTGTATTTCTTTCTTTCTTTCTTTTGTTTTTGTTTTAGACAATGGGGTTAAGTGACTTGCCTAAGGTCACACAGCTAGTAAGTGTTATGTGTCTACGGTCGGATTTGAACTCAGGTCCTCCTGAATCCAGAGCCAGTGCTTTATCCACTGCTCCACCTAGTCGTCCCTGTTTACCTGTATTTCAATGCGCTTCTTCCATTTGAAAGTCAGAGCACTGGACAGAAATCACATTAAATCAACATCTGCCCTCACACCTTCTGTTGCTTTATTTTCATTAAGGTGATTCTAAATCTTTATGGTCCACAGTGGCTACCCAAATGAATATGAGCAGAAGCAGCACCAGCAACATCAGGAACACAGTTCAGATCATCTCTTCCTCATGCACCATCAACAATCATTCATCACACATTAGGCATAGGCTCATCTCATGGCCAAAAGATCATCCCCAAGCGTCTTGCATGTCATATGCCCAGGGATCAAACTTAACACTAAGGATCTCCTAATACCATTCACTCAGTAACCTCTGGCTCAGTCATCATAACCTCTCCCTCCCTGAAGGCCCATGGGAGGATAACACTAAATCTTTGCCCCTTTAGGCCTCTACAGAGGGGAGGGATATCTTTTTCTCCCATGGTGCCTAAATATGTAACTTCTGAACTGCATCTAGGGACTCAGAATCACATTTTAGTCAGCTGGGGGATCTTCCCATACTCCTTACAATCACGAAGAATCATTCTAGTATGAATTCTCTGATGGACATAAAGTAGGGTCCTTAGTCTAAAGGCCTTCTCAAACTCAAAAGGTTTCTCTCCAGAATTAATTCTCTGATGTTGAGCAAGTTTTGTCTTCAGGCTGAAGGGCTTCCCACATTCATTGCATTCATAAAGTCTCTCTCTAGTATGAATGCTCTGATGTTGAGTACTAGCTACATTCAAGTAGAAGGCCTTCCCTTGTACATTACATTCATAAGGTATGAATTATTTGAAGTTGAGAAAGATTTGACTGAAAGGCCTTCCCACACTATACACATTCATAAAGAATTTCTCCAGTACGAATTCTCTGATACACAGTAAGATGTGACTTCTTCCTGAAGGCCCTCCCACATTCACTACATACATAAGGTATGAATTTTCCAGCACGAATTTTTACATTACACTCTTAAGGTTTCTTTCCTGAATGAATACTTTGGTGCTGAGTAAATTGTATCATCACACTGAAGGTCTTCCCACATTCATTGCATTCATAAAGTTTCTCTTCAGTATGAATTTTATGATGTCAAATAAGATCTGAGTTGTAGGATAAAGTCTTCCCACACTCCTTACATTTATTAAGGATGTCTCCAGTATAAATTCTCTGATGTAGAGTAAGATATTCCTTCTTCTCATTACATTCATAAGGATTCTCTCCAATATGAATTCTTTGATGCACTGTAAGTTGTGTCTGGAATATCTCCTTGTGTCTCCTGGAATATCTGCCTCTGGCATTCAAGATGTTTCTTTTCTTTCCAACATCTGGTCTGGAAATTGCAAATCCCAAAGAGACCAATTTCCTATAGTTCTCTAGCATCACATCTCTGTACAACTTTTTCTGAGATGGGTTCAATTGTACCCACTCTTCTCCAGTGAATTCCATAGCCATATCCTTGAATGTAAATGATTCCTGTGGCTCCAAGAAGTGATATAGCATGTGCATCGGCCACCCACCCACACATTTTGGCAGACGGGCAGATGGGCTAAACCAGGTTGAGGGTAACCAAGAGGTTTTAAACCTTTTGGCAAGTTTAGGGGGGTGTCTACACTAAGCATGTGAAGACTTCCCCTGGTGGAATGAGCAGATGAGAACAATTTGTTCCAGTGGCCCTGCAAGCAGATGAAACAGACACTGTGGAATGCTAAGAGCTTGGTTAGACATCAAAGATGCCAAGGTCATCCACCACATCTCAAGCCATCACCAGTCATCTCATGTCTGTCCTTGCCACTGGACTGTGATGACTCTTTTGGGGCCTGGCTGTCAGTACAGGAGCCATTCCCTCTTCCTCAAGGCTCCCACTCACTGGGGCAGAGCAGAGGCCACAGAAGATAGAGCACGTCACAGTTCAGCTCAGGATAGAATAGTGGAAGCCACCACCAGCAAGCATGGAAGATACCGAGGCCTTTCTTAGGATTAAAAACACATTACAGTATTCACCTCCTCACTCCCAGGGAACCCATAAATATTCTTAACAAAGAAAAGAGAAAATGTTGAGTTTTAAATTCCAATTTACCTGTCTCAAATTATTTCTTACTGTTCTCAGTTCAAAGCCATGGTTCTAAGAGTGAATTCAAGTTGCTGTTTTAGCTCCACTTCTTTACTATGTTGTTCTTGTATTCTTCTTAACTGTTCTCTAATTTTTTCAAATAGCATTTCTGCAGTCACTCGCTTTTCTTCCTCTTGCTTCAGTGTAAACCTAGATTAAAATTGCTTGTTTTAAAATCACAATTCAATAGAAATAAGGAATATAATGCCATTTAAGTATATTAATCTGTACCTCTAAAGGAAAAGAACATTAATTTGGGGGGAACTGGATCTATGTAGGGAACTCACCATCAGGAAACTCTCAATACTCATGTTGATGGGTCCCTGCTCAGCAATTTTGAGCCTTTGATAGTTGCCTGGGACACTGAGGATTTATGTAACTTGTTCAGGCTCACACAGTCAGGATGTGTCAGAAATGAGACATGAATCTGTTTTTTATTCAAGCTACATTAGGGCATTAAACTTCTATGAAAAAATGTATCCTATAGTTCTTTGGCTTTTTGTATTCAATGGACAGGAAGGTCATAAATTGGATACATATGTCCAGCTACTTCCCTCCTTCCCTGCCTGCCTTCTTGGCTTTAAACTTTTACTGACCTGCACTACAGAGGAGCTAGAGGAAATAACTTTTTCAAAATTATTGAGTTTTGATGCATCTGAATGCCTCTGGTAAAAAGTTTAGAGGGGGATGTAGTTAAAATCTCTGACTAAAATTGGGTGTGGGAATGATTTCTACATTTCTCTCATCCATTTTCACATTATTATTGATTATTAGAGTTGACTTTTTACTACATTTTGAAAAAAAAGTCAAGTAATTGTACTATAGTTTTGAAAATTGACTAAAAATGCATCTCTCATAGATGACCATAAGGTAAAAAGGATTAAATAGGGCTCATTTCATTATGATTTTAAAGATGTGTCATTTTTGCCTTCCTAACCTCAAATCCTCTCTCACAATGCTTCAACATAAGAGAAATGTTTCAAGTCTTTATTGAAACTCATGAGTTAGATACCTGAGGCTACAGAGTTCTCTGTCCATTTTGCTTTTTGATGCTCTAACTGGGATTTCATTTCTCTTGTTTCTGATAATTCTTCCTGTAGTCCAGTAATCTTGTTTTCTAAACTCTTAACTTTTCCAGCGAGTAGTGTACAATGTCCTTTTTTAAGTTTTATTGATGTTCAAATCTAAGAACTGCATCCTGAATTTTCAAAAGGCTAAAGGATCTGTACAGAGAAAAACAAGTAAATAAAAATATGAGTATTTTTAAATCTGCAGACAGTAGCAACATACTTAGAATTCAGATACTCTGCAATGACAAAATAGTATCCAAATATAAATCCAAAAAAACTGAAATATTATTTTGTCAAAAGATTTACATTGAATTCAAAAGTAACCTATTTCCTGTGGACATTGTGGACAATTAAAAAAATCTCTAAATTACACATTACTTTATAAAAAAAATTGAAACCTCAGAATTCTTCACAATATGAGAAAAATATATGTGAAAAGTAAACATTCTGATGTGTACTCTGAGTGGGACAAATAAGATTAATAAATAAGACTAATAAAATGGATTGTATATTTAATACCTACATATTACAAATATACTGAATCATTTTATAAGTATTATAAATACATTTTACCCTAAATAGTTATATGTAAACACTGCTTCTTCTTTAGAGACTTATAATATAAATCAGTATGTAACATTTATACAATGTTACATCCATCTTCATTTATTCATTGGCCAGACTTCTGGTAACATTAACCAAAAAATCGCTGAGACACCAGAAGACAGTGAAAAAGTCATCTGAGCATTAAGGAAAAAAGCTGCCACAAAACACAGGCACTTTATTCTGCAGAGAGATACAGAGCCAAATTTAGAACTAATCCAGAGTTAGAAATGTGTTTCATATCAAGTTACAGATTCAAGAGGCTTGGTTGTCAAGTTTCCCTTGGCAACTTTCAATTCTTCATACAATTTCAGTGTTCAGCAGAATTGAAGCAGCAAGGAGAGAACAGGTTGCTAGAGGTAGACACACTGATAGTAGTGGGTGGTGAGCTGACAGTAAGAGAAACCATAAGCTCAAAGACTCAAAACAAAAGAAGAAAGTGAGGCACAGGGAAGTTAAAGGATTTGTTGAGATTCACACAGGTAGCAGGTGTATAAGGTAGAATTTGAACCTAGGTATTCATGGCATCATGTCCAGTACACTATCCTATATGCCATGGTGACACAAGAATTATGAAAACTAGGCTGACGGTTTGTCAGATTGTTGATATTTCTGGCCATTTAGTGAAAGATTTTAATATTTTGGCTATTCTTTCCATAAGAGAGATCACTGCCTGATATCTTTATGCATCTAGTCATGTCAGTCTCTCCAATGGTTCTCTATTGTCAACTCAGCAAATAAAATTCATACACCTTATCCTAGCATTCAATATTAATAACTCACATGTAGTAATATAACACACATAGGCTCACAACAATCTTGTGAAATAAGGTATTTATAGATGAAGAAAGTGAACCTCCAAAATGCTTGGTTCTTCCCCCTATACTCCCAAGATCTACACCTACTGAATTCATACTCATCCTTTAAAACTCAACTCAAATGCTACCTTCACAAAGAAGTTATTGATTCTTGTTAGTTAATGTTCTTTCCCACTTTAAACTTCACATAGCAATATGACTATACTGTTCAAGTATTTACGCATTTTTTTAATATTAGAGTTATTTATGTATGCTATTTCTCCTTGCTAGATTGCACACTCAATGAGGACAACTTCTTTGTCTTATGTAAACTTTGTGTATATGGCACACAGTAGGTACTTAATAATTCTTTTTGAATTGAAACAAATAGAAAGTCATCTCCTGTGGCTGAAAAATTCATCACCCTGAATCCACCATAATCCCTTTCACTTTGGCAAGGCCTGCCAGAGATTAGGCTCTAATATCAGAGCCTCCAAGAATCCAAAGTGAAATCTATTTTACTATGAATCAATGAAAAAGGACTTTGGAGTATCTTCTTGTATCCACCCACATCTTTGGTTTCTGTTTAACACTGGTATTTTGTTAGGTAATTTAAGAATATTCTTACATTTACAATCAACACTAAGTTGTTCAATCAATAATGAAACATTCTTATAGTTTAAGGGAGGGTAAATCATAATCCTCTGTAGGTGTGTCAGATGACTGAGTGAGGATATCAAGACCATCTACATCCTTCTGTATTTTTCCTATAAAATATGTAACAGCACTGTAAAATAACAAAAACTTAAAAATAGTAACAACAGCTAACATTTCTGTAGCACTTTAAAGTTTTCACAGCACGTTATATACATTATCTCATGGCATCCTCACAATCATTTTGTGTGAAAAGCTTTACCTATAATTATTTTACAAATGAGGAAACAGGCTAAGAGAAGTTAGGTGACTTGTCTAGGATCAGACAGCTAGCTTGCACTGAAACTCAGGTCTTCTTGACTCAATCTACTATGTCACCTAACTACCTAGAAGCTGAATTATTTAGGAACCTTATGAAAATTATCATAAATAGTCATAATATCTCTTACAGATAATAGTCTTCATTTAATTTATAGGGGGAAATGAGGGAAAATCCAGCAATGTAATTATTTTTCTAGCATTCAAAATGGACATATTTCACTAGGAGATTATTTCTAAAAGTATCCATTTTCAGATTAAATACTCCTATATTTATAGTGCAAAAAGGGATACTATGTGTTCACTGAAACATGCATTGCTTTCTAAACAATTAAAAATGAATGTGAAAGTGTACTAAGTTCTGAAAAACTTCCAATACAACTAGCACAAAAGGCCCTTTTACTGAAGTAATATATCTGAAATTTGAATACCATTTTTACATACCTGTTCCTGGTCACTTTTAGAAAAACTTTCTTGGCCTTCCTCTGATGATCCTTTAAATTCCAATTCCCATGTGAAATCAATATTAATATTTAAGTAAAAATTTATTTTATCTAGAATTACTTTTCTTACATTATTGAAATCCTCCCCCCTAACAGTACTGGCAGTTATGACAGCTATAATTTATATATTGAAATATATTTTAAAATGAGGTGTAAATTATAAGAAATTTTTATTTTATGAATTATGCATTTAGCTGGTTATTTTGTAATCTCAATTTACTGCCACATTGTAAGTTTCTGGGAAGATGCTCATTTCATACCAAATCATAGGAAGCTGTGAAGATTGATTTATATATTTAATCTAGTTGAAACAGTTACATTTGAAAATGAAAGGTAAACTGAGAAAATAGTCTGTGCATGATCAATTTATTAGTTGGCTAGCAGTAACCAATAAATTGGGTCAATGGTCTTTCTCAATGACCAAAGACCATCAGATAGGGATTGCTAGCATTCGTAGAGTTTTGGGAATTACAAGAGAACTACACAGTTAGGTAGGTAGGGAAAACAATGAGATAGGTTATAGAATAGAAAGCATCATGGAGATGAGGACAACATCACTGAGAAAAAATTGGGAATGAGCAGTTAGTAACAACCCCTTCTTTCTCTCTTCTGACTAAGAAGTGTTCATTACTTGAGTCCACCTGCAAGATTACAGACAGTTGACCAGACTATGGATAACAAGCCAGATGTCCTTGAAAGATAGCTTGCTGGTATATAAATACTAGACCTGACTTGCTGGTGTCCACATGCCTCCTTCAAGGGTAACACATTTCCTTGACATGAGAATAGAAAAGGGATTAACAAGAGAACTAGATTTCTAAATGTAACTCATTACAGGACTGATGAATTTCTCAACTAAATTCAGAGAGAAAGAATAATGACTTAGGCAGTAAGAGGACAAAATCAATTAAAAAAGGCAGAATCTGATTATTTCAAAACACAGAGAGAATAAAACCTAAGTCTTCATATGTGAAACCGCTGGCCAAGACTGTGTCAAAAGAAGTAGGAAAAAGGTCTCTTCCTTGGTGCCATGTTGCATAGGAAAATAAAAGGAAATGAGATCTGTATCATTAAGTAACTCTATAAACTATTCTGATTGAGCCAAGAAAACATGAAAACAAGATAAGTAGATAATACTCCAACAGTTAATTAGGAATTAACTGTAAAATGTTTAGTTACCTCAGAGCTAGATAGAGTATGATTACATGGAGAGAAATTCACAGAGGTGAAAAGATTACCAGAACTTCTAAAGGTTAGAAAGAAATAACTGTACTTGCCACAAGTCAAACAATCTATTGAAACAAAATAAACATAAACAGTTAAAACTGTGTATGACACAATTATCTTAATTTATGGAGCTTCAATAATGGTATTAAAACAACATTTCCAGATATGGTTAATTGCATTCTATTCAAACCAAAACAATTACTGGGAAGTTTCAACTAACCAGATAATTCAATACTTGGGGAAAGTTAAATCGATTATCATTAGCTTTGGGGAAGATAGATATAAATAATCCAAAATGACAGAAAAAAGAAAACTCATTCATATATGGATTTTATACATGAATGGTTTTAGTTTTTGAAACACTAAAAAAACTGAGTAGCAAACCAGTTAATTAGATAGAAGACCAATTTAGCACACAAGCCTAAACTACTCCCCTTCAATGCTTGTGAACTATGTTACAGTGATTAGAGGAGAAAATCAAAATACCTCCTAAAAAGACACCGGCTAGATTCTAGACTGCATGAGAGGAGTAAAAGCAAGCAGTGAATTCTCTCATCACATGACTTTCTTATTTATTTTGCTTACCTATACTAATAAAGACTGGAATGTAACAAAGTGAGCAAATGATCTACCTATGGAAAATTTAGAATGTTAATTCTACACATGTCTTCATTACCTTTTTTACCTTCCTCTTCTTTTAAAGGCTTCTGAGGGAATGGTTTTTCTACTAGAATCACAACCCCAAACCCAGTCTCAGGGCCACTTCCAGCTCCACCTGCTTCATCTTCTTTTAAAGGAATCTTTCCAAATTCTGTGCATCCTGATTGATTGCTGATCAGTGGCAGTGACTGGCAAGGATAATTCCCATTCGATTTCAAAGTCTTCAAATTTCTGTAAAACTCATTTTTCTGAGGAATACTGGGAGAATCCCAATCAGAATTATCTGAAAAGGAAATGTTGGAGTTAAATAGTGCATCAGTTTTATCCACCTGGCACATCGTTTAATTTTTTCACAGGATATCACTCAAATTACCCCCTAGCTTTATGACTTTATTTTATTTATTTATGCATCCTGTATTTTATCTCTCAGGTAACATGAAGGGAAAAAAAAACATCTGTTTTCTTTCTTTTATTTAACCTATCCTATTTTTCTACAGTTACCAGCTTTTATTCCCTCATCAAAATCTACTTCAGAGCATAGTCCCAAAGAATTTATTAGTAAGATCCTTGGGAAAAGGCTTTTCTTTTGTGATAACCTTTTAAAACTAACATGTAGATTTGACTTCTAAATTAATTTAGTATGCAGCAATAGAGTCTAAACTTGTGATTTTTAACCTGTCATTTATTTATAGAGAATTCTCAGGTGAGGAAATTCCCTCTAATAATGTACAGTGGTACCTTCTCTCTGCAATTTATGGTCTTAGAGAATTGCCTAGGGCACTTAAGGTTAAGTGACTGGCCCAAGCTAACATAGCCAGTATGTGTCAGAGATGAGCCTTAAAACTATTGCTTTTTGGCTTTGAGAAAAGCCCTCTATCTATCATGCTAAAATATTTTTCCACAGAAAATCTTTACAGTTAGGATCCCTTCAGTGACTATATTTAAAAAAAAAAAAAAGAACTCGCATTTGTTCTGAGAATAGTATCATTTTTTTCAAATGTGAACTTCTTTAATTTGACTAGAAGATGTTTTTTTCAGAATAATTTAATTTCTTGAAGATTAATCTTTTAACTTTCAATATGCATTATAAATTCAGTAAGACAATAACAGTTTATAGAATGTAAGTATCCCCTTATAAAATTGAGAAAAGACTACTTTTATACCAGTTTCAAAATGTGCAAATAAAGGACAATGATGTATGAAAGGAATAAACACCAGAATATGCAATAAACACTTAAATTTCTGAGTCTCTAAAATTTCTCTCATCCTTCACATAATCAAGGCATGTCTTCAAGTTATTATTATCCAATATCTCCCCTCACTTTCACTGTCTAATTACTAGTTATTTATATTCATTCCTCAAACCATTTTATCTTGCTTTGGGCTTCTATTGAAACTACTTACTCCAATGGTATCCTAACTGCTAAATCTCACAGCTTTTTTCTCAGTCTTCATCATTCTTGACCTTGAAAAGTTTCAGATACTGTTGGAGTCCCTTGCCTCAAAGATAATCTCTTCAGGTAATCTTTGTTGGGATCTCATCCACTCTCATGATTTCATTGGGAAGTGGTCAGAACAGGTCATACCAGACCATCTTCACATTTTGACAGGGTTATTAGACTGATTCACATGGGGATTATTGTCATTATAGTTTACCTAAATTTCAGCCAAGCATTTGACAAATTCCTTCATGTCATCTTTGCAGACAAAATGACAAACGTCAATAAAAACACAAGACAGAAGTATGGATAGATAAATGTTTGTCAAAGTTCGTTGGATTTTGTTGGACTATATGCTCAATATGAATCAATATAGCAACCATAAGAGCTAGAGCAATTTGAGATTTCATTAAAAGAGATATAATGTCCAGAGGGAGGGAGATGTTAGTCTGGCTGACCTCTGCCTTGGTCAGACCACACCTGAATTCTGTGCTTAGTTTTTGACACCAAATTTTAGGAATGGCTCTGGGACCTCTCAGCCTGTATACATTCAAATTCAACATGAACATGCCTGAACTCATTATTTCCTTTTCCTCCCCTCCTCTACCTCTAAAGTCATCAGTCCTTTGATATTTCTTATCTTTGTTAAAGACAGGCCATCTTCTCAGTCATCTGGGTCTATTTTGTTGACCCTTCTCTCATCGAAATATATATGTATGTGTATATAGACACACACATTTCCACAAGTTGCTATATCCTGTTGATTCTACCTCCATAACACCTGTCATCCTCTCCCTTTTCTTATTCCCAAATCTATCCTCCTACTTCATAACCTCATCAACTAAATATTTGCAATAAATTACTAACCAGTCTTCTTATCTCTGGTTCCTACCTTCTCTAGTCTGTTCCACACAAAGCTGTCAAGTCATCTTCTGAAGGCACTTAACTAGGCCATTCCCTTGCCCTACTGCCACAGCTCAGGAGATATCACAGCTATGAAACCTTCTTTCCACAACTATTACCCTTTTTCATGCTCTCTCCCCCCACTCAATTTTCCTAGAGCACTTTTATCTCTCTCCCTTATCTCCTTTACTCCAAACCTTCTAACAGTTGACATGCTGTATACCTTCATAGAAAGTAAATTCCTTGAGGCAAAGAACTGCTTGTTTTTACCTTTGTGTCCTACAGTACAACAGCAAGCACTTGATATTCACATCATATATAATAGTTGCTTAATGTGTGTTAACTTGAATTAGGAGAATATATACATAATTGGATTTATGTACCTTCATGCAATATAGAAATCTATTTATATCTATATATTTATAAGTATACCTTTAAAAGAAACCAACAAACCAATATATTGGAAAATAATTGTCAGGAATACTAGGAAAATCTAGGAAAACTTCATGGAGGATACACCTGAGCAAGTTTCTGAAGGAAAAGAGAGATTTCAATGGGTGGCCTGAATAGACACATGGAGGTAGCACAGTCACAGGACAACACACAGAATAACTAATAGAACAGTTTGGTTGAAAAAGAGAGTGAAGAAGAGTAGCACGTATTACAGCTGGTTAGAGTCCTGTTGTCAAGGCCCTTAGAAGCCAGCACTCTGTCTCCCAAATGTTTGCTGGCAAGTGAATTTTTTCTGCTTAACTGTTGGAAATTTTTATTTGTTTGTATTTTATCCTATGGCCACCTCATTTTAAAATCTTTAGACTATATAACCAGATGCCAACATGCAAGAAAGTAAGCCAAAAATTGCCAAGAATGAGGAGAGCAAAAAGCATAATATATTCTTGAATAAATGACTTTGGGGAAAGAAGACATGTTTACGTATAAAAGTAAGTAATAAGAACACCCAGTACGTTCTGAGGCCCTCAGACCTTCCCTAGCAATTTAGGAGAGCAAAGGAGTCTTTGGTTGCTTTCTCTTCCTGGTTCCAATGCAGCCATCTTCTATTTTCTATGTTTCTGACTTCCTGTTGCCTACTCTTTTTTCTTCTGTCATCATATACTGTCATCAGCCTATGGAATCTCTCTTCCAAAGTTAAAAGTGTCTAAACATGAACAGCCTTTAGTAAGCAGATACCTTAAGATTTTTAAAAATGAAAGTTTATAAAACATTTTCCTCACTTTAATTTTATCTGATAGACACAGGGAATAAATAACTGAAGGTTTCAGAGCCAGTGAAGTTTGAGAGGCACAGTGGACAGAGAGATGGCCCTGGAATAAGAAAGGCCTGAACTTGAGTCCCACCTCTGATTTTAATGTTAGCTGTTTGACTATTAACAAATCACTTAACATTTCAGAGCTGTAGTCACCTCTCTGAGATCCTAAGTTTCAGAGAAGGTGCTAACCTGCACTGGTAGAGGGAGTTACATCCTACCAATGGGATTACAGGTCTATTCTCTATCACCAAAAAGAATTAGGTGACATAGGCTTGTATCACAGGGAGGACATCTGCATAACCAACTAATTAAACTGAAATGGAGCTCATCCTGTTTCCTAAAACAAACCACCATGAAAGGCCGGACAATTATTAACAAGACAATTGCTAGAGTCCATCTGTCACTCCATATCAAACATATCTATTTCTATTCTCTCTCTTTCCACTGAACTCTTCCATTCTCCTTCTAATACCTCTCCTTCCCTATGTCCTCCTATTATATTCCTTTTTATCTCCTCTTTTTCTGATTTTGCTCAGGCAAGCCTTCAGTGATACTACTTAGTCCTGTTAGTGGTACTAAGACTTTGTCCACCTTCCTCTACATATTTGATGATATAGTCTCTTCCCCACCCCTACCCCAACTCCTAGACACCACTTTTATTTTTTTTAATGTTTTTCTTTTTTATTAATTTACTTTTGGTTTTTAACATTCACTTTCACAAGATTTTGAGTTCCAAATTTTCTCCCTATCTTGTCCCTCCCCACACCCCAAAAAGGATGTATTCTGAATACCCCTTCCCCTAACTTCCATTCTATCCCCCATATAACCTCCCTTCTATCCCCCTGCCCTTCTCTTATCCCCTTCTCCTTCTATTTTCCTGTAGGGCAGGATAGATTTCTATACCCCATTACCCATATATCTTATTTCCCAGTTGCATGTGAAAACAATTGTTAACATTTGATTTTAAAACTTTGTGTTCCAAATTTTTCCCTTTCTCCCTCTCCACCCACTCTCATTGAGAAGGCAAGCAACTTGATACAGGTTATACTTGTGTAGTCACTTCCATAGTAGTTATGTTGTAGAAAACTAACTATATTTCCTTTGATCCTATCTCACTCCCCTCGCCTTTTATTCTATTCTGTTTCAAACCTGTCCCTCCTCAGAAGTCTTTGTTTGCTTCTGATTATCACCTCCTCCAGTCTAGAAATAGTGTTACTGCTTAGTCCTGTTAATGGCACTAAGACTTTGTCCACCTTCTTCTACATATTTGATGACATAGTCTCTTCCCCACCCCTACCCCAACTCCTAGACACCATTTCTATTCAGCTCTGGTCTCTTCATCAAGAATGCTTGAAAGTCCTCTATTTCCCTGAATATCTAGTTTTTCCCTTAAAGATTATACTCAGTTTTGCTGGGTGATTCTTGACCATAATCCTATCTCCTTTGACCTCCAGAATATTATACACCAAGCCTCCAGGCCCTTAATGTAGAAACTGCCAGATCTTATGTTGTCCTGAATGTGTTTCCACAATACTTGAATAGTTTTCTTCTGGCTGCTTGCAATATTTTCTCCTTGACTTGTGAACTCTGGAATTTGGCTACAATATTCCTAGGAGTTTTCCTTTGGGGATCTCTTTCAGGAGGTGATTGGTGGATTCTTTAAATTTCTATTTCACCATCTAGTTCTAGAATATCAGGGCAGTTTTCCTTGATAATTTCTTGAAAGGTGATGTCTGGGCTGTTTTTTGATCATGGCTGTCAGATAACCCAATATTTTTTAAATTCTCTCTCCTAGATCTATTTTCAAGATTAGTTGTTTTTCCAATGAGATAGTTCACATTGTCTCCTATTTTTTCATTTTTTTGGTTTTGTTTTACAATGCCTTGATTTCTTACAAAGTCACCAGCTTCCACTTGCTCCTTTCTAATTTTTAAGGAAATATTTTCTTCAGTGAGCTTTTGGACTTCCTTTTCCATCTGTCCAATTCTTCTTTTTAAGGCATTCTCCCCCTCATCGGCTTTTTAGACCTCTTTTGCCATTTGGGTTAGGCTATTTTATAAGATGCTATTTTCTTCAGTATTTTGGGGCGTCTCCTTTAGCAAGCTGTTCACTTGTTTTTCATGATTTTCTTGCATCACTCTCATTTCTCTTCCCAGTTTTTCCTCTATTTCTCTTAGTTGCTTCTCAAAATCCTTTTTGAGCTCTTCCATGGCCTGGGACTGATTACTATTTTTCTTGGAGGCTTGCAATGTAGGAACTTGGACTTTGTTCTTGTCTTCTTCTGATTGTATGTTTTGATCTTCTTCATCACCAAAGAAAGATTGTATAGACTGATTTTTTTTCCCACTGTTTGTTCATGTTCCCAGCCAATTACCTGAGTTTTGAACTCTTTGTTAAGGTAAGGTTCTGCTTCCAGTGTGGAGAATGTATCGTCCCAAGCTTCAGGGGTATTGTGCAGCTGTTTGCAGAGATACTTCTAGGGACCTGCAATTCTTCAGTTCTTCCAAGGTGGTATGATCAAAGGAGAGTTGTTTACTTCTTTTCTGGCCAGTACTATGGTCTATGACTGACCACAGACACTCTGTTCTACCTTGGAACTTTGAGAAGGATTTCCTCTCCACTACAAGGACCACCATTCCAGCACTCCTCCTTGCCCCAGGACTGCCACTGAAAACTGTGACCCAGATTCAAGCATGGGTAAAGCAAGAGAATCCTGCCTCAGCACCAGCAAAGAGATCCCTGCAATCCCCCTCTGGTCAGCCACTTGATTCCCCTCTATCTGTGGGCCAAGAGCTCTGGAAGCAGGCACTGCCCTGGGAGTTCAACTGGACTGGGCTGGGAAGGAGCTTCTCTCTCACTGCAGTCATACACCTTTCCTACTGACCTTCTAAGTTGTCTTCGGTGTTTATGGGTTGGGAAGTCTGGAAACCACCAGAGCTACCTGCGATTCAGTTCTCTGAGCCCTGCTCCAGGTTTGCTGAGGCCTGGTGTTTGCCTGCACGCCCATGCTGAATTGCATTCCTTTCCCAGCCAGGCACAACAGACCTTTCCAATCAACCGTCCAGGTTGTCTTGGGCTGGAAATTTGTTTCATTCTGTCTTTTTATGGGTTCTGCTGCACTAGAATTTGTTTAGAGTCATTTTTTACAGGTATTTGTAGACCTTTGGGGGAGAGCTCAAGCAAGACACTGCTTTCACTTCTCCATCTTGTCTCTGCTCCCCCACTTTTTTTTTAAAGAAAACTAACTCTCTATAATATAATCTTACCTTCATGTTGTCCCATTGAAATATTGTCTTTTATTGTTTGATTTGTGGCTGCAGGTTTATGCCTGGCAGATCCTCTGGGGAGACTTTCAGTGGCATGCTAATCAAATAAAAAAAATCAACAACAGTTAGCAAGCTCATTGTAGAAACCTGTCTGGACTGCTTTCTGGTGTAAATTGTGAACTTCTCACTTATAAATGAGAGCTCTACAGAAAATAAAAATGTTTTATAAAACACTTTCTTCAAAAGAACAACCTCATTCTTAAACTTTTCAAGTTTACTCTTCTGTCTCTTGTCTTTAGACAAGATAACACTGGTAAATGTTGTGAGGTACACTGGAGCATACTTTTTCATACAGAAATAGATTTCTTGTAAGTAATAATAAAATTCCAAGTCAGGATATTATTGCTTTGATACTTATAATAATATAGTACATTTAAAATACTATTTTCTACATGCTAACAACATGGGAGAAGAAAATAGTGTTTGGGGCCAAACATACTATATATAATCTGCTTAGAAAGGTGGCAAACTCAACAGAGCCCTGGGCTTGAACTCAGGAAGATTCATCATATATATGTGTGTGTGTGTGTGTGTGTGTGTGTGTGTGTGTGTGTATGCATGCATATATGTATATATCTTTATGTATATATACACATATACAAATATATAAATGATGTGTATATGTGTGTATATATATACAAATGCATATATATATATATACAAATGCATATATATATATATATATCTACATGTGTGTGACATTTATGGTAGAATGGCTGAAGAGTTTAGCTTAATCACACCAACCATATCTATTGTACTCAACAATTTGTTGTTGATATTGGAGAATTTAACACAATTCCTGCTTGTTCTAGAGGTCTCCTACACTTGGATTATGTTGTTTTCTCTTCATTTCATTTCCTGGCCTTGTGCTTGATGTCTAATACCTATGATGGCCTCCAATCCTCTTGTGAGTCATGATTTTTTGTCTGTCTGGTAGTTGGTCTCCACTCGACAATAAACTCCACAGTCTCCACTCAACATTCTGCATACTCTAAAAAGCATAAGCATATTCACTGATCTTTTCTTGTCTTCACACTTCATGCTTCTGCCTTTGATTATTTCCAACATAAAGCTGTGAGTTAATCAATTCAACTCTGCCTATTTCATTTTCAAGGGAGATTGTGTGACCCAGATTTCTGACCCCCCCTTTTCCTAGAAAACATGGAAAACCATTTGACATTACTCTCATATTCCTAAAATTCTAGCAATCTATGAGATACCTCCATTTAAATGTTTCCTGAGAACTAATATATTAATAAGTTATCTTAGCATGTCATCATGGAAGCCCCCTCAAACCTTTCTAACTTCCTTGTCTCTATTAGTGATATCTACAGTTTCCCAGGCCCTCAGCCTTAAAAATTCAGTTATTTCCTTTGTTTTCTATAGCCAAGTAGTGGCTACATACTGCTGAATCTTTCTGTAAAATAAACAAGTTATTATTTAACCTTTCCTATTTCCACCATCACTCCAGTTTATTTCAGCATGTTACACTTCTTGAATCATCATCTTTTTTGGCCTATAATGTACGTCTGCTCCAGTTAATCTTCTATACTGATCATAAAAAGCTTTCCTAAAACGCAAAATTTCAAAATATTATTATACTGCATAAGAAATGTTAATGCATGAGGCAAATCAAATCCCAACTTCTAAAGCTATCATTCAAAGCTTCAATTCACACTATCTGATTTACAGAAAATAATTTCTAATTCCTATTATAGGCAATGTTACATCTAACCCTCACTCTTTTACATTCCTTGCAACCATCCTTATTTCCTTGTGCCTGTCCTCTCTCATGGAATGTTTGCCTCCCTCCTCTTTGCCAGTCAAAATTTGACCCTATCTTTAAGTCATTAAAGTACTATCATTAAGTACTAATGAAGGTTTTTCTGACTACTCACAATTAACGCTGCCATTTCCCTCTGTATTGCTCTCAGCAGCTGTGCATACAAGTTGTACAGAAATGTGCTAACCGTGTGTCATAAAAATCATCTTATACATGCCCATGTACTATCCCATCACTTAAAGTTAAGCTACTCATGTAGTGGGGAAGCAGGGTTGTGCACTAAGTCTTTGTTTAAAGTCTCTTACTTTACTGGAATATATCTTACTACCTAGAACAACAGCATATGGTACTATGGCATTTGTTCACTGAATGATTGAGTGAATGACATTTTGAAATTGGTAAGCTATTAACGGGTAGAGTGGAAAGTTCATGGCCTGAAAGTTAGAACCACTGGATTCTATTCTTGGTTCTGTCACTAATCAGTTGTGAGACCATAGGGAAGTTATCTGACTTCTCTAGGGATCAGCTTCCTCATGTGTTAAATGTAAGTAGTTGGTCTAGATTATTTCTAAGGTCCCTTCCAGCTCTAAAATTCTGGTTCTGATTCCACCTAGGCAATTGCAATGATTAGTAAACAAGTAAATCTGAAATGTAATTTTAAAGGTAACAATATCAATATTGAAATATCAAAATAATAGAAGATACCTCTGAACCCCAAAGAGATTCTGAATCTTCTTCCTCTTTCAATCCTAATGCTGGCATCATGTCTATAAAATAGAGGCAGAAAACCACTAATAATTAGAATTTGTACTACTGAGAACATGAGAACTGTTCAAATATGTATATTCATTATTGCTTCTGCAAAACTTGAATGAAAATGGCAACAGAAAAAAATTCCAGGAAAGAAAAACAAAAGAAGAGAGCAACATTTGGATTTAAGGATTATGGGCAAAGGAGGATCCTTCAAAGAAAGATGTTAGGGGCTAAGAGGTAATTTTACACAAGACTATATAACAAAATTCTTTTCTAAAATACAGTTAATATTCTGGGTAAAAAAGGAGAAAGAGAAAGATTTTTTATATTTAACATACTTCAGAATTAGGTTAACACACGTTAAATTTAATCAATTTATAAGGGAATTTTACAGCAAGAAAGCTTTGTAAGCATATTCTACAACTTGGAGGGTAGCACAGCACAGTGAATAGTAGGCCAGTTTTGGAATTAGGAAGACCTGGATTCGAGTCCCAGTTCTAATATATCAACTGTGTGACCATAGGCAAGACAATGCCCAGGCTTGTTAATGCCCCAGGCTCCTCAGTAAGACTATACATAAGCTGTAGAACAGTTTTCAATCTACATCGGTAGAAATTTCCTCTTTTCCCAGCAGTTTTTGTCAAAGAGTGAATTTTTATCCCAGCAGCTGGGCTCTTTGGGTTTATCAAATAAGAGATTACTATAGCCATTGACTACTATGTCTTGCATACCTAACCTATTCCACTGATCAACCACTCTTTTTCTTAGAGTGACACAATTACAAAAACACTTTTCACATGAATAAAGTCAGGTCTAAATAACTGTAAAAAATATCAGTTGCTCTTGGGTAGTCCGAGCTAACACAATAAAACTGACAATGGTATCTAAGCTAATTTATTTATTCAGTGCCACACCAATCAAACTACCAAAAATTATTTTCTAGAGTTAGAAAAAATAATAACAAGATTCATTTGGAAGAACAAAAGGTCCAGAATATCAAGGCAACTAATGAAAAGAAATGCAAAGGAAGGTGGCCTAGCCATTCCAGATCCTAAATTGTATTATAAAGCAGCAATCATCAAAGTTGCTTGGTACTGGCTAAGAAATAAAGCAGTGGCTCAGTGGAATAGATTAACTATGCAAGACACAGTAGTCAATGACTATAGTAATCTATTATTTGTTAAACCCAAAGACCCCAGCTTGTGGTCACAGGCCCCTTATCATACCACCTTGTAAGAACTAAAAATTTATAGGTCCCTACAAGTATCTCTGAAAACAGCTATACAAACCCCTGAAGCTTGGAACAGTACACTCTCCACATTGGAAGCAGATTCATACCTAAACAAAGAGTTTAAAACTCAAGTAATTGGCTGGGATCATGAGCAAGCAGCGCAAAAAGAGTCAGACTATGTTATCTTACTATAGTGAAAAAGAAGGTCACAATATACAACCAAAAGAAGAAAACAAAGTCAAAGCTCCTACATCCAAAGCCTCCAAGAAAAATATGAATCAGTCCCAGGCCTTGGAAGAGCTCAGAAGGGATTTTGAGAAGCAAGTAAGGGAAGTAGAGGAAAAACTGGAAAAGAGAAAAGAGAGTGATGCAAGAAAATCACGAAAAACAAGTCAACAGCTTGCTAAAGGAGACCCAAAAAAATACTGAAGAAAATAACACCTTAAAAAATAGCCTAACCCAAATGGCAAAAGAGGTCCAAAAAGCCAAGGGGGAGAAAAACGCCCTAAAAAGGAAAATTGGCCAAATGGAAAAGGAAGTGCAAAAGATTACTGAAGAAAATACTTCCTTAAAAATTAGAATAGAGCAATTGGAAGCTAGTGACTTTATGAGAAATCAAGACACTGTAAAACAAATCCAAAAGAATGAAAAATTAGAAAACAATGTGAAATATCTCATTGGAAAAACAACTGACCTGGAAAATAGATCCAGGAGAGAATTTAAAAATTATTGGACTATCTGAAAGCCATGATCAAAAAAAGAGCCTAGACATCATCTTTCAAGAAATTATCAAGGAAAACTGCCCTGATATATAGAACCAGAGGGCAAAATAGAAATTGAAAGAATCCACAGATCTCCTCCTGAAAGAGATTTCCAAAGGAAAACTCCTAGGAATATTATAGCCAAATTCCAGAGTTCCCAGGTCAAGGAGAAAATCTTACAAGCAACCAGAAAGAAACAATTCAAGTACTGTGGAAACACAATCAGGATAACACAAGATTTAGCAGCTTCTACATTAAAGGACCAAGGGCATGGAATATAATATTCTGGAGGGCAAAGGAGATAGGATTACAACCAAGAATCACCTACCCAGCAAAACTGAGTATAATCCTTCAGGGGAAAAAATGGTTTCAGTGAAATAGAGGACTTTCAAGCATTCTGATGAAAAGACCAGAGCTGAATAGAAAATTTGACTTTCAAATACAAGACTCAAGTGGAACATGAAGAGGTAAACAGGAAAGAGAAATCATAAGAGACTTATTAAGATTGAACTGTTTACATGCCTGCATGGAACGATGATATTTAAACTCATGAGACCTTTGTCAGTATTAGGGTAGTTGGAGGAAAAATATATGTATGATAGATAGATAGATAGATAGATAGATAGATAGATAGATAGATAGATAGAGGGCACAGGGTGAGTTGAAGATTAAGGGGTCATCTGGAGAATAAAATTAAGGGATGAGAGGGATTACATGGAGAAGAAGAAAGGGAGAGGTAGAATGGGGTAAATTATCTCACAAAAAAACAGAAAAGAAAAGTCTCTTACAGTGGAGGGGAAATGGGGAAGGTGAGAGGGAATGAGTGAATCTTATTCTCATAGGATTTGGCTTAAGGAGGGAATAACATACACATTCAATTGGGTATGGAAATCTGTCTTACCCTACAGGAAAATAGGGGGAGAAGGGGACAAGAGAGCAGGGGATGATAGAGAGGAGGGCAGATTGGGAAAGGGGGTAATCAGAAGCAAATACTTCTGAGGAGGGACAGGGTCAAAAGAAAGAATAGAATAAATGGGAGGGCAGGATAGGATTAAGGGAAATAGAGTTAGTTTTTCACAACATGTCTACTATGGAAGTGTTTTGCATAACTGCACATGTACAACCTATATTGAGTTGCTTGCCTTTTCAATGAGGGTGGGTGGGGAGGGAGGAAGAGAGAAAATTTGAAACCTAAAGTTTTAAAAACATATGTTTAAAAAAAATGTTTTCACATGCTACTAGGAAATAAGAAATACAGGAACTGGGGTGCAGAAGTCTATCCTGCCCTACAGGAAAATAGAAAGGGAAGGGGATAAGAGAAGGGGGGAGAGATAGAAGAGAGGATATACTAGGGGAAGGGATATTCAGAATGCATGCCATCTTGGGGTGGGGGGAGGGTTGAGATGGGTGAAAATTTGGAACTCAAAAACTTGTGGAAGTGAATGTTGAAAACTAAAAATAAATAAATTTATATTAAAGAAAAAAATAAAAAATTTTAAAAAAATTTAAATTAAAAAATGAAGTGTAAAAAAATAAAAAATGAAAAATAATTTTAAAAAGTTATTGGTCTACCTGAAAACCATGATGAAAAAAAGAACCTGAATAATATCCTTCAGGAAACCATGGAAGAAATCTGCCTTGAGGTCCTAGAACCAGAGGGTAAATTAGTCATTAAAAGAATGCACTAATCACCTCCTGAAAAAGATCCCAAATTGAAAATGCCAAAGAATATTGTAGCCAAATTTCAAAATCACCAAATCAAAGAGAACATAATGCAAGCAGCCAGAAAGAAACAATTTAAATATCATGGAACCACAGTCTGGATTATGTAGGACCTTAAGCAGGACCTTGCAGCTTCTACATTAAAAGATTGGAGGGTGTGGAATATGATACTCTGTAAGGCAAAGGAACTTGGATTACAACCAAGGATCAACTACCCAGCAAAACTGAGCATAATCTTTCAATGGAAGAGATGGACATTCAACAAAATAGGGGACTTCCAAACCTTCCTGATGAAAAGAGCTCAACAGAAAATTTGACCTTCAAATACAAGAGAGGCATAAAAAGGCAAACAGGAAAAAAATCCAACATGTTATTAATAAGAACAAACTGTTTACATCCCTACAAGGAGCACTTGTAACTCTAGAGTACCGTAATGTTATTATGACATTTAAAAGGGATATACTTAGACAGAGGGCATGGGCATAAGTTGACTTTGATGTGATGGTAAAAAAAAATCTTATTAAGAGGTGAAAGAGGATTGTACTGGGAGAATAGAAAAGGAGGAGGGAGTCAAAGGTAAATTAAATTACATGAAAAGGCACAAAAACCTAATACAGTAGAGGGAAAGAAGGGAGGGAGCTAAGCACTATTTCAATCTTATTATCATCAGATTTGGTTCAAAGAGGGCATAACATAATCAGTTAGGCATAGAAATCTAATTTACCCCATAGGAAGTAGGAGGGGAAAAGGAAAATGAAAGGGAGGGGGTGAATAGAATGGAAGGAAGAAGCAGAAAGGGTAAAGGGGAAGAAAAGGGAGGGGATTAATAGAAGGGAGTACCGACTGAGGGAGGTAATGGTCAAAAGCACAACTACTGAGGAAGGAAAGGGAGAAAAGAGAGAGAAAAACTTAAACAAGGGGGCAAACAGGATGAAGAAGACACAGATACTGGACACAATTGTGAATGTGAATGAGATAAACTCTCCCATAAAATGGAAACAGATAATGGAGTGGATTAAGAACCATAATCCTACAATATGTTATTTACAAGAAACACATCTGAAGCAGGGGGGTACACATAGATTAAAGGTAAAAGGCTGGAGCAGAATATATTATGCTTCAGCTAAAGTGGAAATAAAAAGCAGGGGTAAAAAAACAATATCAAATTTCTACACATTGCCACTAAAGGATAAATTTCAAAGGTTGTAAATACAGACAAAAGTAATGTGAGAAAAACACCTTGAAACCATTAAAACAGAGGGGTGGAGCCAAGATGGCAGAGAGGAGCCAAGAAGTTGCT